AGAATGTTTATAGGTTACACCTACGAGGAATGTGACTTGGTGCACATTTGGGACTTGATGGCAAATACTTGGGACTTGGTTCCACCTCTGGCACATGGTAGAAAATACACTACACTGCTATTGACAGCTTGAGACTGTGCATTTCCCTCCCAGAGCAGCTGGAATTCTGGGACTTGACGGAGAACGGAGGGAGTCAGTGGAAGGTGGAGGAAATGCCGGGAGACTGTGGCTACGACTTCTGCAGCGATGGCGTGACCACATACTTTGCTACCTCCTTTGAGTGAGTGTTATACTGTATGTGTAGTCATGTGACTGTATTTATCTGCTCAACACAGGAACACTGTAAATCTACTGGCCCTATGAAGACTTTTGTACACTTTTAATTCTCCGAAGCACAACCTGCTTTAAAGATAGGTATGGAAACGGAACCTTAAAAAATAATTCTTTGGGAACTATAACCCCGAAGAATTGGGATCACTAAACCAAATAACTGAAATATGAAACCCTGAAAAAACTAATTAAATAAGATCTTGATTCAATTCATGAACATTCATGAATTTATGAATGAATTAATAGATTACCACAATTTTCTTATTATTATTTTAGACTTTCTCCAAAATTATTATTATGCCGCTCAAATTCAAATGATGAATGTATGGATCAATAACTAGTCACAAACACAATGGGAATTACGTAAGCTACATCTTCGTAAATAAATTATTATCTTGTTAACAGATTAATAACTTCTGAGAACAATAGACAAACAATGTATGACATAGTGAGCCTGGAGAAAAAAAGAGAAAAAAATGGCAAAGAATTAGTCATTTTCAGAGATTTGCGTAAAGACCTAAATTTGACTCCAAATCAAGTTGACATGGCTTTAAAAGAAATGACCTCAAAAGAATTTCAATAATTTATCAGTGAAAGAGAAATAATTTCCTTCTCCACATTAGAAACTACATACATGATCTTGAATTCAGAGGGAGTCAATAAATGGCCTGCACCCACTTACTACATCTTTGGAAAAATATGAACTAAATATTGTAAAAAAAACTGGACTGGAAAGTTCAAACCATGAAGCAAATTACATTTAAGTTACACAAACACAGAAAGGAGCTAGCAGATAAATGAATATACTCACTGTATGTATGTATGTTTGTGATTACATAAAAAAAATCCTCTTTTTGTCACAGATATTGTCTTTTCAGGTTGTTTTTTCAAAATGATACAACAAAAAGTCAAGTATAAAAATCCGTTCCCTATATTATTCATCATTTGTTTGTAACCTACGTATATCTCAGTATGTTTCATTTTCATGGCAATGCGAGTTGACTCAATCCCATTCAAATTCCTCCTGGTTTCTGACAAACTGTGTGTCGTAGGCTGTGTCTCAAGAGACAGCTGATCGACCTGTTAGCGGAGGGTTACTCTTCCGAGCAGTTGGACACTCAGCCTCCCGTCACAGTGGAAGACTGGTAAGACAGAGGTGGACTGGCGTACATGTGAGCACCTTCTGTGAGTCACTAGTGTAACTACTGTTTAACGGGTGACTCATCCTGCAGGTACTGCGGGAGGACGGATTGCGGTTGCACCTATCAAATGACCGTGTGCCTGCTGGATGAGAATCAAGAGCTCATACAGGAGTTCAAACCTGATCCGGTGACCCTCGACCCCGACTGTGATGACTGCTCGTGGAAACAGGTACACAGAGTTTACATCAAACTGAGGTCACAGAGGTCTTGATAGGAAAACACAATGTAATCTCCATTCTATACATTTTAATTCTTCATCAGTAATCACTCACTGTTGTAAGGACATTTTTGTCCTTTAAGGCTTTCAGACACATAAGAACAAACTGATACACATGAAAAAATTAAACAATTAAACAAAATATATTGTTTGTCCATGTTGCACACGTAGAAGCATCTGATCTGACGCCCCTATCAGCAGGACGATATCATTTGACAAGGGAAAATCAAGAACTCGTGTTAAAGTCTAATGTTTTTTTGATCTATCCATCCACTCCAACCTCCGTACGGGGGGGGCACCTCCTGCTCTGATTGGCTAGTACTCATTCCCTTTATTGATTTCATTGGTTAGGTTGAGGCGTGAGGATTGAGACTGGTTAGGGTTAGGGTAAGAAGGTCAGAGTCAGCCAATCAGAGGCAGAGTAGGGCAGGTTATGACTTCGCCATTATAGGAAAAACAAATATTTGGTACCAGGGACTTCTATAATAATATCCCCTGACTTCCTCCTTTGCTCCTGTTGTAATTACAACAACTCCTAAAGGGCTTTGTCACTTGAATGTAAACGTTTTGAGGCACTGCCATCATTCTTCTTGGGGGGACAGTCTCGTCCACACACACACACACACCTGACTGTACGCTGTGGTTTTCTCTCTCTTTTTGAACTCCAGGTGAGCCACACATTTTCTGACTACGGCCCCGGAATGCGCTTCATCTTGTTTGAACACGGAGGACAAGACACCAGGTTTTGGGACGGTTGGTTTGGAGTCCGGGTCACTGGGAGCTCTGTTACTGTCGTGGTCTGAACGAGACGCAAAAGAGTGAAAGGAGAAGAGGAAGGTTAGGAATACTGAAAGAAGGAAGGTGGAGTAATAGAGGGGCTCCAGAGTGACAGTGGAGTGGAGTGTAGGTTTCGAAGGTTTCAAGAGGACCAGCTTTGCCTTATACATTTAGCTTGCACCTCTGTATATCACGCACACTGCTGTTGATGCTGCGGAAACATGCTGCTGCTATAAAGACTGTAGTTACAAATCTGTTAAAACACTATCATGGCGGCACGTCGGCTTTACTAACCTCAAAATAGCAAAATGACTGCTCGTAACAGTCCTTAATCATCATCTATTAACTACTACCTCTGCACAGTGGCTGACCCTGGCGTTCAACTGAATGACGTGTTCAGTTTGTGGGGGTGTTGGAAGCAGTGGTTTGTCGTTCAAATTGAAATTAAAATGATGAAACAAATCAATGCCTGAACTTTTATGTAAACATCAACTGAACGTGATAATCCTTCATCCCAATATAGCTCTACTGTTACTGTATATGCAGGACTCAGTGGTTGTGGTTGGGCTTCATCTACAAGAGTGACTGTTACTACCAACCAGACATATGCTCACAATGGCTGTCTTGGGTGCAGTAGTAGAAAGAGACTAAGTACATTTACTCTAGTACTGTACTGTTAAATACTGGACTTAAGTACAATTTGGAGGTACTTGCAGTTTACCTGAGTATTGCATTGTACACTTCTACTCTACTACATTTCAGGGGGAAATCTTGTACCCCACTACATTTATCTGACAGCTGTAGTAACTCATTTGTTTCCAGATTAAATAAATAATAAAATAATTACATTTTACATTAAGAAAGCATGATAAGCTTATAAAATGCATTGTTTAAAAGTAAAACAGTACTGGGTGTGAACTACAGGGGAGCCAGGGGGAGCTGGGATCCTCTTAATAAGACATGAGCTCCCTGAAAACATGGACTGCGACTATTATTGTAAGATTTGTGCATTAGGGTGATTCATCACTAATTCACTTTAATAATGACACTGTAACTACAGCTGTCAGATAAATGCAGCAGAATAAAAAGTGCAATATTCCTCTCCGAAATATGGAGTAAAAGTATAAATTAGTATAAATGGAGTACAGTACAGCACTTGAGTAAACTGCCTCTAAACTACTCAGATAATTTGATATACAGTAAATAAGTAATACATATGTCAAATTAAACAATATTTATCAAAAAAGAGGATAGAAAACGTTATCAGTGGCTGTGGAAGAGGCTTAAGACAATTCCGGCCAATAACATTTGCTATATTTAAACCAATAAACACAGGGCTGTCTGGTATTGTCTCACAGACTGATGCAGAGTTTCAAATATGAATACAGCAGCTAAAATAAATACACTTCTCTAATGGTTGTACTTAAATTACTAAAGTAAGATACAAAGCATGCTGCAAGTACAAAACAGAGCTGTATTTTTCTTATTTCCTGCCCCATTAATCATCCCACAAGCCCTCAGACTTATCTTGTGATCATTTGGACCCCTCAGCTGGAAAGCACCGGACTTAACTATGAACTGTAGCTAAAGCAGATAAACTACTCAGAAGTACTCTGACCTTGGACCATAGAGAAGAAATATTCTGCTGAGTGATAGTCATGCATTCAAAATTAAATAAACAGTTATTTTATTCTACATTGGGCTCCACAATGAGGAATAAAATAACACTAGTACAAATGCAGGCGCACTCTTAATGAGGCCCCCCAACACACCTCCCTCATGTATCAACACTCAATTTAGCTTTATTTCAAAATAAGAGCGCACTGTTAGTCAAGATAATTACACTCAGGACTAACAAATCAATCCTCAAACCTGAAAAACCACATGGATAACATGCACACACTATCAAATAAAAACACACATTTAAAAAAAACTCACTTTTATTTGAATTGAATCAAGATTGTATAACTCAAGTGAGATACTGTACTAAAAACAATATACACATTTTACAGTCATCACACATAAATAAAGGTTGTTTATATTGCAAAACGTGTGAATGTGACAATAAAATGCAGTATTATTCCCATACAGGCCAGTTATTACTGCAGACAGTGTTGAAAGTGAGCACCGTTAACACCGGCATATTAGAGGACGTGTCGGTTTTGAAGCTACATTAAGCATTGTTTATGGATCAACCAAAACAACCTGTAGTCCTTCCATTCCCAGGTAGAAGCACGGTCTGTGGCTGACTGGTATTTTGTCAGTTTTATCATCTTACCAGTTTTAGACGGTGTAGCAACCATGTGATATTAGCTGTAGTACTGTTAGCAATGCAACCACTAACTGCAGCCTCAGAGACAGAGGTTAAAAATAAATAAAACAGCTTCATTCAGCTGGACTGTTGAATGGTTTGAAGCTAAAACAATACGCTCAAAGGATACACACACTGCTGGGGTCATAAGAGAGGAGAATACCGGAAATGTACACTATAAAGACAAAATAAGTACGGGAACGTGTCCAACTCATTCAAATAATAAAGGAAAAGTCATATTTCAGTAAATATTGATCTCCAATCGGTGCACTGCATCTCATTTAAAGTTAAAGCATGTGAGCTCACAGTGCACACTGGGCCTAAAGTACACAAATACATTCACATGTTGTGTCAAGAATATGTTCTGTGTAGGCTGTTTGGATAATCATGTATTTTACTGTAGCACTGCAGAGTAATATGTGCATTTACTTCAGCACACATGAGTATTACAGATTTAATAAATAACATGCAGGTTTCTTGTCGTGTTTTTTCTTCAAGTCAGCCAGGGCTGCTATAAGCGTTTACTGAAATCATTTTTCGGGGACAAACAGAAAGAAAGCCCCTTTAGCTTTAGAAGGCTCCATGGTAGCGTTCAACTCGATTGTATAAGCCTCATTGCTGTGGGGGTCAAAAACCACTTAATGTAGCTTTATTTACATCCACTAATATCCCATTGGTTATAAAAGTGTGCTTTTAACTGGCAGGTCTCTGACCAGCTGAGAACATTGATCACTGCTGCCCTCTCTGAGCTATTAACACTGGTGTTAGCTCATAATGTGAGCTGGCCAACTTCAAAATCTCAACGCATGTATTTTGAATTTTAACAGCACTGAAAAAAAGGGAGCATTTCAACCACTACATTAATGTAACAAAGGTGGATATTTAAGCACAGAAAAGGCCAGTGACCAGATGTGTTGGTAGGAAATAGGCAACTTGGATCTACAACGCTCTCAGTTAACAACCAGACCAGCTTATTACAACAATACTGTCAGGTGACGTCAGGAGTCTGAGTCAGTAAAACATCAAGACACCAAGATTGTCTTACTGAACATGAGTAGAAGTGTGTGGCTGTGTGTCAGTAATAGTGTGCATACTGGGTGCTTCTGGACGGCAGCAGGTCCTGGTCCGGGTGAAGGAGGAAGGCTCATCATCATCATCATTCTCCTTGCGACTGCATCTGTTTACAAAAGGCCTCGAACTGCTGCTGCTCCAGCTCAGTCATCACCTTGTTCAAGGCATAAATCTGCAAATGAAGGAAGTACACGCACTTGATTCCAGACATACGATACTTGTAGCACACTGCTGCGATAGAGACCCTCAGAGACAGGGACAGCATACAGAATGTGTGTCAGCTTTAAAAATAGTGCTGTTAGTCACCTCGGCTCTCTGTCGTTGTTTGAGCTCTTGCTGAGCAGACTTCTGCCTGGCTCTGTCTCCTCTGGTCGGGGTCGAGTTCAGCTTTGGCTTGTCCTTACGGCAGGCTGGCTCCATGGTGGCAGGCCTCCAGTCAGCCTGGGAGGGTGAAGGGAAGATATCTGACACTTTAGACAATATATCTATATATATATCTATATATATATATCTATATAGATAGATAAGCACGATATGTGAGGCAACGACGAAGCCTTTCAATTTGTTTGTAACACAACTAACTTAGCATACTGCTGGCACACGGTAGCTACACGATTCACAACTTCTGAACGAACGAAGTGAGTGAGCTGATGTAAAGTTAACGTTACGTTAGGTAGAGCACATTGTGAGACTTCGTTACATCGTTACAGGTTTTAAATCTACACACTTGCTGGCTTTGTGCAACTAACGTTAACTTGACGTTTTGTCTTCAGGCTATTTGCTGGAAGCTAACGTACACACTGAAAGTAACGTTTGTGGTCCCAATGATGTGGCAGCAGTTTTCTGTAAGCGCTATTTTCTCGGATTAGCTAACGTGAGTTGGCTAAAAAAGGGTTTCTAGTCAACCCAGTTTAAAACGTCTACTGTTTTAACGTAAGTTAACGTTAGTCAGCCAGCAGACTCACTCTTTAGCCCACTAACTTCTCTGTCGTTTACTTTGTATACGGTAACAACAGTAACACATAATGGCGCCCTTACCCCTGAAATATAAAGAGCGGACAAAAAAGTAATACAGTTTGAATAACCGTAACGTTACGTTAGTCTGTCATTTGGTTGTAGCTAACGTTAGCTTAAACGAAACAGCTGTTGCCAAGGTGTCACCAATAAACAAATCCGAGTTTCGCAGTGAAGCGTTTGTAGAAAGGTTCCGGCTGTGTGGTTCCGCTTTTCTTCTTCTTCTTCTGTCTGTTATGATGGTAGCTGCACAATACCGCCACCCAGTGTTGTGAAGTATGCACTGGCCTTAACATAATTCCCTAAATTTTGATATCTCCTTCAGGCCAACTCCAGTTATTTTACCTCAAGTTCTTTGCATTTCATACAGTATACCCAAATTCATTCAACAAATCTCCTCTTGTCCTCATTATGAACACAGTTGGCAAATGTTACAGTTCTTCATGCTTGATAAGCTGTACGACATTTCTATATTTTCTTGTTTTTAAAAATAAAATAAAAAAGACCACAAAGAGCAAACAATGAAGTAATGCTTTTTGAGCATTTCACCAATTACACGGATAAACCCTAGGTGTAAGTTGGAACTGAACTAAAGGTTCATCATCCAGTGTAAATTATAAGCAATGCAGTGGATATGGATAACAGAGCACAGCTCACTCTTTACAATGTGCTGTGCTTAAAAACTGGACTTCACTCATCAGGATAAATACTGTGCTGTCTGACCAGCAGGCTCTCAGAGGTTTCTCAATAAAAGCGGCAGCTGGAAAGAGTTTCACGGAATTCTACATACCTCATCGGTATGTGTACTTTGTGGCCAACAGATTTTTGTTTTGAAATGTGAAAACCCAAATACTACCATTTATAAATAGGGGAACAAAGCCAGAAAACAAGTTGTTTTTTTGTTTTCCACTTTTATTTTCAAAACAAAAGACAAAAACAGGTTGTTCCTTTGTTTTCTGTTTTTGTTTTATCTTTGTTTTTTGTTCCCCTGTTTATGAATGTTATAAACGAGCTGTTGGGTTTTTTTTTGGTTTTGGTTTTCACATTTCAAAACAAAAATCTGTTGGCCCCAAAATACAGCGACCCCCTCACAGGTGCTTTATTCTATCATTCCCGTTTTCATGACTTCAGTCAGCCAGTGTGTTCCTTATGACTTCAAATCATTGTTTTCTGTTTCTGTTTTAATTTGTGCTTTAAAAAACAACAACAATGCATTGAGGCACCCCATCCTGCCTATGCAGTTTTAATAAATGGAACTATTTATCGAGTTTATGTTCATGCTCATTTGAGTTTCTGACATTTATTACATAACTAATGTTTTAAGATTCTGCTATGATGGTTGTATCTCACAGTACGGTATTCAGTCAGTAGTCCCTGTATGTTCAATATGTTTGTAGGATAAGGGGTTAAAGCTATCTGCTGTGCTCCAACTAGGCCTGACCACAAGATGTCGCTCTTGTCTCATAGTCCAGTTATACTCATTAGAGTGTGTATGAATTTGCATTTATGCAGATAGTTCGGGCATGTGACGTCATTCAACATTGACCTGAGGTGTATCTGAATGAGATGGTGCATTTGGAAAGCAGCAAAGTCTGACAAGAGAGCCTCTAATGAACCGGTCCTGCTGAAGCCTTTAGAAGCCTGATACCCTTACACCTGTATACTGGGCAAAACATGACTATTTAGATAAGCAAACTGTTTCCTAAGTGTTTTCCCCCTATTTTCACCTTTTGATTTAGAGCAGGTAACTGATAAGTGCTGCTCAGACCATACAAACAAACACACACACACAGACTCCCCTCAGGGCACCTCCTCAGTGCATAAATCAGCTGGGTGAGGAGTGAGCCTGACACCAGCTGAGGGGTGGTCCAGAACACATTTATCCCCTCAGAAACAAAAACAGTCATTATGAAGGGACAGAAACATTAAACACTCTCACATATGAAATGAGGAAATCTTCCTCTCAGACCAAACTACCTGACAACACTGGTAGTCTCTGGTGTTGTTGTGAACTTGAGTTCGAATGTGTGCATGTGTGCCCTCAGGCAGTGCTGCGCCACAGAGATTTATCACGCGGCATACCAACGGTTTACCTGGATTTATCCTCCAACTACAGGAGAGCGCTCTCCCTCGGAATAATATCCTGCCAAGAACAACTTCTGCTGAATGTGGCAGACAACAGCCAGACCTGCTGATCCATATGCACAGCAGCATAAAGGAAAAACACATTTATATAAGGCTTGGCAGTCAGCAGCAGGGGTTAAATGTGGTCCCTCAGCTCACATTGCTTTTTAGTGAAAACACTGCATCTGAAAGTTGCATTTCCAGGAATTTGAGTAATAATCTGAAAGCTTTTTGTCTGCTTTGCTGCTCTCTGTCAGCAGTTCAAATAAAATGTGAGTTATTTAGCCTGAACCAAATTTATCAAATCTTTGAAATCCTCCAGACGTGATTTGTCCTGCGTGGCAAGATTCATTATAAAAACTGCAGACAAACTGGGCAGCTATAGGAAGTCATCCTGGCTGTCAGAAAAGCATCCCACCCAGAATAAATTCAAGGTGAAAGACGTCACAGCTCTGACCACGCTGTTTGATTGACAAGCGATTTCTGGGAAGAGCAAAGCACAAACACCCACAGTAATGGCTGCACCAAACTTAGCAACTAATCACAGGAAAAAGGTGGTTCAGGTGCAACCAGCGACTACACGGCACCTTAATTAACCCGCTGAGGTGTCTTTAATATTGTGCAGATAATGTTAAATGGGAAGAGGTTTTAACATTGGCTTATATATGGCACTTTTATCTTGTATCTTATTTAACTTTTAACAGCTTCTGTGAGAATTGGTTCAGTGATATTAAGCAGCAGGGGAAAGTAAGTTGTGGGATATTAGTTTGGAATACGGGAGGGTTAGAGGTTAGAGGAACTGTAAATGTATTGTCTGATAATCAAAGGAACATTGTAGCTTACATTTACAGTCATATTGTGAAGTGATTAAACACTAATATCTTTGCATCATGGGTTGGAGAAGGCCTGGCTTGTACTGCAAACCATAAGTATTACTCCATAACATGAAATATTCACGGCTAAATAAACAACAAAAAACATACTTCCTTAGAGAGATCTAATCTGCTTCATCAAGACTGTGTGGGTGTGGTTTGATCCGATTTGACAGTTTCACACTTAGATGTTACATACACTTACATGTTGCCAAATTCTGTTTGGTGCATGGAAATATGTGACATCCCCTTTTTCCAATAGAGCCATCACCATGACTTTTTCTTTCTTTTTTAGACTTTTCTCAACACAACAGCCTGTTGTTCCTTTGCACTTCCTGCCCAATGACATCATGCACGCTGTGACAGACAGTAAGCGATGATTGGTCAGGGAGCAGCGTGTAGTCTGTCATGTCTCTCGGCTAAGTCACAGAGTTTATGGCTGTATAGTTGCCTAATCTGACGCAGTGACCGTCGTAAAACACATACAGAAAACATATGGCACAGTCGGAACTGAAGCATTAGTCATGATAACCTTATAAAGTCATTTCTGAGAACACTGTAGTTCAACCAGATTATCTAAGTCTCCTTATTTGGAGGTAAAGAGAAGTGAATATTAAAATGTTGCTAATAATTCCTCATTGCACAGAACTATAGTCGTAAACAAGGATGTTGGGTAAATTTACCATTTGCTTGTTTTTTAAACTAAGACTGGCTAATCTGAGGGTTTCTTTAAAGGTCCAGTGTGTAGGATTTAGTGGCATCTAGTGGTGTAGTTCAAGATTGCAACTCACTTGCTTCACCCTCCCCTTCCAACCACGAGGGAAAAACTACGCTGGCTGCAAAAAGCACAAACAGCCCAGTCGAGAACAAGTGTTTGGTTTGTTCTGGGCTACTTGTGAAACAGTGTGGTTCAACATGGCGGCCTTCATGGAAGGCAACCCACGACGTCTGTTGATTAAAATGGCTCATTCTAAGATAACAAAAACATAACAATCTTTTATTAATACCTATAAATATTAGATTCCATTTCTGCCAATAGATTCCCCCAAATGTTACACACTGGACCTTTTCAAATCTATCTTATCTTCGGTTCAGTTATATTTGATTACAGATAGAATGATGGCCAAAACTACAAAAACAAGATCCAAATGAACCACCGTTGTTCTTTAATTTTGCCGACAAAGACATGTTGGCAACAATTGTGGATTGCTTTGTGCTGTGACCTGGACCCCATTTCCCAAAAGCACCTTAAGGCTATGATGATCTTAGTCCCACTGTAAGGACACTGTGTGCTGTCTATGACAAAAAACAATCATCAGAGAAATGTGTAAAAGCACGCTTCCACCAATGGCTGATTTGGAGCTTTGGCAACCAAAGAAAAAGTCTGACAGTCTCAGAAATTTAGGACCAAATTCTCACAATGTGACTGCCGCTACAACCCACGTCTACAAACACACCAGTGAGAATGCACCACGAGAGTACATGAGTACATGATAAGTACATGATAATGGCCAAGAAAGTAGTTGGTTTTGGGATGTGGAGTGGCAGACAGAGGAGGAAAAGAGATGAAAAGGTTAAGAAGTAAAGGAAGAGAAGATGGAGAGATGGTTAAAGTTTTATAGAGTGGCAGAGAGGTCTGGGGAGGGGAGGGATGAGGTGTGGAGAGACGGGCCAAGGAGACTGCAGCAGCACAAGTGTGTGTTAGGAGCCTTGTTCTTCTAAATTAAACTCTCTCTCCAGGGGGAAGCGCAGCTCTGACTGCTCTTTCACACCAGCGGCCCTGAACACACAAACTCACCACAACCTCCTAACCCTGCTCGCCAGTCCACTGCCAAAAAACACACACACATACACAGCTCGCACACACGTAAGCACGGCGCGTACAAATCCCCATAGACATGTACATATGCATACACACAAAGTCTTTCAGAACTAAAAATAAACGACCATGGTGACTGTGCCTAAAATAACTGGGCTCACAAACACACGTGCAAACACGCGCTTACTGTACA